CCTCTGTCTGGGCATCCCCTGTGTTGCAACTGTATGATTCACGTACCCCTCCCACGTAAATTGGTTCCCCGATGAATGAGAGTGATTGGGAATGATTGAAATACAATGGTAGCAGGTCTCTACTGAATGGCCTACAATGACTGGGCCATCGCCTCACATTGATTCATCCAGGAACCACAGACCTCACCCAGGAACAGAGACAAGAACCCAGCATTTGAAAGACAAAAGACCCTGCAGAACAAGCAACTCTACCATTGTACCCCACCATTACAGGCACCCGAAACTGCACATCCGTGCATGGAGCACACATGCTCAGTACACTAGGGGGTGACCCTTGCCTGGGCATGCTTCCTGTCACTAGGGTCACACAAGATCTGCCCCTATAAAAAGGGGCAGTGAAGACACACCCAGTGGGAACGCCATTTCCATCCGAACCAGACCAGCTTCATGTCACCTATCCACCACAGAAGCCCTGCCGTCAACCCCCTCTGGTCAACACCGAGTTGAAGGAGACCCTGACTGGCCATCGACGATCAACTTCCAGCCTGGGACAGGTAGATATTACCTGCACACCTCCTCTTACAATTTGGACTCGCTCTCTCCTCCTGGAATTCAGTGGACTTCAGCCCCTGCACCAAGCCTCTCTAACCCCTGCTGCCATTGTGTGTGTACATGTGAGTGTGTGTGTGGGTGCAAGGGAACCAATAAGATCTTGTGTCATCATCTCCCCTGTTCAATAAAACCACTGTCAATTGCAACCCCAAGTTGGGTCACATTTTACTGAATCCCAGTCCTTTACCTATCTTACATTCCAGCCTCGTTCTCTCTCTCTCTCTTTCAGCTCCAGCCCCCCGCTAGTTTCCCAATCTCCTCCCAATTCCGTCTCCCCTTTTCTGCCACCTCTCAGCCTCTCCTTGCTTTCCTGCTGTCTGTGCTGCCTTTAAGCCTCCCATGCCATCTACTGCCTTTTCCCTGTGACTTTCTGCTACCTTTCTCTGCTTTCCTGCTGCCCTGCCACCTTTCAGTCTCTCCTGCCACTTTTCCTGTTATTTTCTACTGTCTCCCTGCTCCCCACACTCCTACTACCTTTTCCCTGTGACTTTCTGCTGCCTTTCTCTGCTTTCCCGCTGTCCTGCCGCCTTTCAGTCTCTCCTGCCGCTTTTCCTGTGATTTTCTGCTGTCCATCTCTCTGTTTTCAGGCTTCCCTCGCACCTTCTGTAGTCCTCCCCACCCCCCACAGCTTCCCAGCTCCTCGTGGCTGTCCTGCACTTTTCGCCAGCAGCTGGAGCCTTTCTCCAGCTCCCAGCACCTACTGCCGCTCCCTGCAGCTTCTCTAGCTGCCCCGGAGCCATCCTCTGGCTCCCCACACCCAAAGCCCCTCTTTAACACTCACACTTTCTCATAGTCCCATTTTCCCCCTCCCCATCTACCTTTTCAGCTCCCCTGTAGCTCTGGCCTCTGTGCGGCATCCTCCCCTTAAACTAAAGTTACCCCTGAACCTCAGTTCTTCAGCCCAGGCCCCTCTAGTCTACTGGTTCTAATCCTGGTAACTTTTACTCCCTACTCTTCTACTTTCTTACCTTAACCTTTCCCCAGGTATCCCACGTACACCAGGCACATACATACATACATACATACACATCACAACACCCAACTTAAAAACTCACCTGTGTGTACATGTAGGTGGGTGGTATGTATGTGAATTAGTGTATACACATATACATACATAGATATCACTGTGTGTGTGTGGTATATGAATTCATAATCCACATATGTGTATTGCATGTGCAGGTGCTGGTAACTGATTCTGTCTAAATTTGGTGTGTGTAGCGTGTATGGGCTTAAACTGGTGATAGATGTGCATGAACCTAGACTGGTTATTTTGAACATGTTTGCATCTGAGTTGCTAGTGTATGCTTAGTGGGAGTGTATGCACCTAGCGAGCGTACATGTGCTTAATTGATTTTTTATGTGTGCATGTGCAATTGTACACCACACCCTCCTGTCTAACAGCATAATATTGAGATTCTGAGCGTTGGCCTGAGCCTCCGGGCAACAAGAGTGACTTAGACAAATTGGAGGATTGGGCCAAAAGGTTCAACAAGTCCTGCACTTAAGATGGAACAATCCCATATACCAGGACAGGCTGGGGACCAACTGGCTGGGCAGCAGCTCTGCAGAAAAGGACCTGGAGGTTACAGTGGACAATAAGCTGAACATGAGCCAGCAGTGTGCCCTTGTTGCCAGCGGAAGGCTACCGACACCTTCAGCTACATTGGTAGGTGTGTTGCCAGTAGGTCAAGGGAAGTGATTAATTCCCTCTATTCAGCAGTGGTGAGGCCACATCTGGAGAGAGAGACCAGTGGAGGGCAACAAAAATGTTGAGGGGGCTGGGAGACATGATTTGTGAGGAAAGACTGAGGGAACTGAGCTTATTTAGTCTGGAGAAGAGGAGACTGAGAGGGGATTTAATAGCAGCCTTCAAATACCTACAGTGGGGTTTGAAAGAGGATGGAGCTAAACTGTTCTCAATGGTGGCAGATGACAGAACAAAGAGCTTAAGTTGCAGCAAGGAAGGCTTAGGTTAGCTATTAGGAAGAATTTTCTCACTAGAAGGGTAATAAAACCCTGGGACAGGTTACCCAGACAGGTGGTGAAAGCTCCATCCTTGGAGGTCTTCAAAACCCAGCTAGACAAAGTTTTGGCTGGGATGGTCTAGTTGGGGATGGTCCTGCTTTGATCAGGGGGTTGGATTAGATGACCTTCTGAGGTCCCTTCCAACCCTCACTTTCTGTGAGTCTATGATTCTGTGTCAGGGATGGTAGTAATGAACAAGGGATAGATCATTCTAGATCAGAGGCAAGTAAAATATGGCCCGTGAGCCAAATCGTGCTCGGCAGGCACTTTCATCTGACCCATGGGCACCTACCAACAAATTGCATCCTGCCTGGCCCTTCTGCCCAAAACTGTGGAAGCAAGGGAGCCCCATATTCACAACCCCAACATATCCTATTGCACCTTGCTTCCACCCTCGTGGGCCCAAGGGCCTGGCTCAGCCAGCAGCGGCCACTGGAAGGGAGGAGCTGCTGCAGCCACCCCAGGGGGACCTACTTCGCTTCCCAGGCATCCCGCTCGCTCTGGGAAAGACAGAGCCTGCCTTCTTATCTCCTCAAACTTACACCCCTGACCTCCTCCGTCCCAGGGGCGGCCCTCAAAGGCTGTCACGACACTCTCACCCTGGCTGAGGTCGTTCTTTATTGTTGTTATTTTTGTTTCATGCCTCTTAATATCTTCTACTAACATTATATCTGATCTTCTCCGAGGGCCCCGCTCTGGAAATGCCACCGGGAGGTGCACGCGCAGGTGACAAACCCGCAATACCCACCAGATTCCGAGTTTTGCAGCCTCAGGCTCCCAAGAGCCGCCGGGGAGCATGGCGAGACTGGCGCGGGTCGCTGACTTCCGCCGCAGGCTCCGCCCACCTGGGGGTGCGGCAGTCTGGTCGTCCCCGCTTCAGTCTCCGCCTCCGGCTGGCGGCTGCACCACAGTGCGCAGGCGTGGCCTGGAGCGCGGGGTCCCACCTGCCCCATGGCGGCGCGGGCCCGGCTGTTCCGCGCCCTGTCGCGCGCCCGCGTCTCCCAGGTAACCGGCTCAGCGCGGTGGCGAGAGCTCTCCGGCCCGCGGGCGGCAGAGACAGGGGAGGGCCCGGCGCTCGGGCTGTGCGGGGTCTGTGGGGCGGGAACGCCGCGCGGGCGGCCTAGGAGCCGGCCTCTGGCCCGAGGCAGTCTCAGCGCCGGGCTGGTTGGGGGCGACGGGGAGCGCGGGAATGGCCCTTTCTAGCTGCGCCGCCAGGGCCTCTCCTTCCAGCCCAGCTCGCAGCGTCCCCGTCACACAGTGCTCGCTAGTGCCGCCGTAGGAAATGCTGGGTATTGCTTCTCGACTGCTTGAAGGCTCAGCTCAATCACAGTCTATCCTGGCCTGGCAAGGGAAAGACTGTGACCACGCAGGCAGTCTTCCTAGACACATGGAGGAAGACTGCTCTCCTGGCAGGGGCTAGTACCTGCCAAGGTAATTTAACCTCTTACCTAGCTGCTGGAGTTGGGACAGTCTTGCTTTAAGCCCGTTTTGTGGAGCTGGGAGACTTCTCCCTGGGGCCTTACAGCTGAGAGCAAGCAAAACACAGGGACATTTGAACCCCAGACCTCCAGGCTTGGGCCTGCAAGTGAGATGCCTGCCAAAGGTTTTGGAAACACCTGAAGCCCCAGATGGGGGTGGAGGATGTAGTAGGGCCAAGAACTCAGTGTTTCTTTAGAAATTTCCTGGTTGCCACAATCAGTTTCTAGGCTTGTCCTTTCCTCTGACAGTTATCTACATCAGTAGTTTTCAGCTGTTTTTTTGACTAAAGGCACTTCTCCATAACTTTCCTGAGTTTAGTTGTGCCCTGGTTGAGAACCGTTATTCTGAAGTCTCAACTTGCTTACTTTTTATCTGGGCTGCTGCACTTTTTCTGCCCCCAGGTGGTGAGTGGGAGATGTCTATGTGCCTCTGTTTCCAGGCCGGGCTTATGGAGCCAGACCAGAAAGCAGCAGGAATGCCCTTTTCAGAACCACTGATTTGCATTTTATTTCAATGCATAGGTGCCCCTTTTCCAAGAGAAAAGCCTGTTGGACTAACTGAGAAGAGGCTACAGGCCTGTCCTGTATCTTGGTGCTTTTGTAGTACCTGACAAGAGCCATATAGGCTTCAGTTGCTCCCCACTCTGTGCAGCCATAGGGGATAGACACTTGCTGTTTTAAGAGTGAAACTGAGATGCACCAGGTGGTTGCTGCAGTGGGGTAGGGATATTAATTGCACTGCCTTGTTTCATTTAGGTGAATGGGATTTATTTAGGTTTTTTAGCTGAGCAGTTGGCTTTTCTATGGGGACAGTGTTTTTAATATCCCTCTGACTGAATATGGTGGATTTTTTTTTGTCAAGCAGATTGCCCAGGGGTAGTATTAAGTAAAGAACTGTTAGCTTGCTTGAGGAAAGCTTGCTTGTGGAGTAGGTAGACCATAGTGAATAAATGGGGATCTACAGTTTCACAGCTCTCTTCTTGTGATTCATAACCTTGTACTAATTTAATTTTTGGGGTGATGTATTACTGACCAAGAGTCCAGTTTTCTGTGAAAAAAAAATATAGAATTTCAGTGGGTGTGGGTGTGTGCATGTGTGCAAGCAGCAAAGGATATACTGCGTTATGAGGATGCTATCGTTGTATCAGAAACCTGAAATATAATTCCAAGAAGTTCACACTGAAGGTTAAACTTTAAAATACATAAAAAATTGAAATTCATAGTTACAGTACCCAAAACCCCCTGAATTCTGCCTTGAAAACCATGGATGGAAGGAGATTGAAAAGGAAACATGAGGAAAAATGAGACTATGATGCCTATTTTTTTTCCTCAGCCCAATATTGTTAGAAACATATTCAGTTTGCTTAGAAAAAGTGTACATCATTGCTGAATATATGCATTTTTTAACGTAACCTCCTCTGTTGATGGCCTTTTTCCACTGGTGAACAAAGGCATATATCCCAAAATTGTATCCTAATGTTGTCCTTGTTTCTGCTTGAAGCCAGTGTTCCACAGCCTCCATCACTTTGCTGTCATCCCAGAAATGTCACCCTCATGGTCTATCCCTCATTCTCCAGGTTGTATGGAGGATGGGGCATTATAGCTGATCCAGCAGTGAGATTACAACAGCTTTTGCCCCCATGAAGCATAGTCAAGGGTTATCGTGCAGGAGCACCTCAGACATGTCTCTGTCTTCACATGTGATATTTCAGTTTCTTCTGGGTCTAGACATAGACATCGTAGTCTATTGTCAACCCACCCTTCCAGGCAAGAAGTTGAATGTGCTCTGTGTCCACGGCTTGGATAGGAGGTCAAAATTAATAGGTATACTTTCTGATTGACCCACATACGATGTCAGATTACGTATCCTTTTCCCCAGTGGAGAAAAGCCATTTACACAGGAGACTGTTAGAACAAATAAGACTTTTCAATGATAATGTACAATTTTCTGTGCAAATTTAATATTTTTTGGTATTACTATGCTGAGGGAAAAGTAGGGATTATCTTGGGACTGACCTTTGTGTATTTAAAAATCAGTTTATTCTAGAACATAGACTTGTTTGTTTTTTGGAGGATTTCAAAGGTATGATACCATTGTCAAAACCAGTAAGATAGACTTTGCTAAGCAATTTAAAAACGTTACTCTTCTCTTTATACAGAGCAAGATATAGTGTCTCAGGCAAAACACAAAGTATTTGTATGCCATTTCATGCTTAAGTTTCCTCACTGCTCTTGATTGCCCTTTGGGATTTGGTCATTGTCCTTTCATGTTTCCAGGTCTCCCATGGAAAATTTGCCAATAAAACATGCCTCTGGAGTGGCCTGCTCTGGGGAGATATGGTTTTGTAACTTCAGTGTCCTCTCGGTCAACTTCAAACTTTATTTATCTGACCAAGGTAACTCACTGGTTAGTCTCTCCCTTAATGACCACTTACCTGCAGGCGAGATTTAAAAATCTGGTTTATTTTGCTTTTATTCCACCAGAAGCTTGATACAAGTCTACAATAAGAGAGTCTAAGCCTAGGATAGGCAAGCCCTGGCATGCATGCCAGTTAGTGGTGCATGGAGACGTTTTCCCCAGGAGGCAGGAGGTATGTGAGGAAATTGTTAATATATATATGCGTTGTTTTTTTTTTTAAGTTGCTGCTTCAGGCTCTCCCAAGCAGCTGCAGGTCCCAGCACTGCAGCAGGCACTTGGGGTGGAGTCAGGAGAACACAGGCAGGGACACAGTCTATATTCAGCTGACTCTGCCCCCTGTCCCTGGGCTGCACCCCCAGCCTAGCCCAGCCCAGTCCCTGGAGGGGGCTTCACGGGGGCAGAGCTGCTATGCTGGAGGCTCCCAGCAGGTAAGTGAGCCCTGGGTCTGGCTGGGACATTGGGCAGGCAGATGTCCCATCCCGCTCAAGTAGGGGTAGCACCGGGGTGCCAAGCCCTAGGGCTGGATGCTTGGGGCAGGGTTTGGGCAGTGCAGAGAGAAGCAGGTGTGGGGGAAGGTGCTGTGGGCAGGCCAGCCTGGCTGGGCCATTGGGAAGGCAGGGGCTGAGTGGGAAGTGGGGCTGCCTGAGGGCTCTGTGGGCTCAGGATGCCAGGCTCAAGGTGCTACCAGCTCCAGGTTTGGCCTCCCTGCATGCCGGGCACAGGTCAAACAGGGTGGAGGCACCCCAGTGTAAGGGTGTGGCTGTGGGCCTTTAGAACAGCTGCCATGGCTGCCCTAGCCTTGCCCACCTGCAGTTGCCCTCCAGGGGCCAGGGCAGGTGCCGTGGAGGGCCTCTGTGCTGCAGGCTCCCAGCTGGCTCAGTCCTAAGTGTCATTTGTGGTGGCTGTTCCCAGGGCCTAGAGGGCTCTGGAGGTCAGGCCCTTGCACCAGGGGTGGATCCACCCTGCTCGCACTGCGCCCAGCACACAGGGAGGCCAAGCTCAGAGCTGGGAGCCACCAGAGCCCAGCATCCTGCCCCAGCCAGGTGTCATCCCCTTGCAGGCAGGGCAGCTGCAGCCCATCCCCACGGAGCTGCACAGGCTGGGCCAGGCCACACCTCAGGTGCCACTGGGCATCCCCACATGTCCACCTGACCTGCCTGCAGTGCCTCCCCCTGCATTTGCTTCTTTCTGCACCACCTGGATCCAGCGCTCGGCGCCCTGATACTGCACCCATCCCCCCCAACCCTGGGTAGGATGGGGCTTCCACCTGCCCAAGCCTTGGCCAGGCCCTCCCTCCCAGCCCCGGGCCCAGGCTTCCCCTACTCCAGGACTGTCTATGAGACCTGAGCACCCTGGCTCTGGTGGCTGCTGCTGGTGTGTCACTGACTCCCTCTGATGGATGCTGCCCTGGATCAGTGGGTCCAACCCGTAGCTGGTAGTGGTGAGACATGTTGGTGGAAAAGGACACTCCCTTTTTCTCTCTCTTTTTTCCTTCTTTTCCTTCTCTTCTCTTTTTTCTCCCTTTTTCTTTCTCTCTTCTGCCCTCTTTTTCTATCTCCTCTTTTTTGTCTTTTTCTCTTCTTTTCTTTCCCCCCTTTTTTCTCTCTTCTCTTTTCTCCTGTCTTCTCTTTTTTCTCTCTCCTTTTTTTTCTTCACTTTTCCTCTGCTTTTTCTCTCGTCTTTTTCTCTCCCCTTTTATCTTTGTTCTTTCTCTCCTCTTTTCTTTCTTTTTTCTTTCTTTACCTTTTCTCTATCTCTCTCCTCTCCTTTCTCTTTTTTTTTTTCTCTCATCACAACTTGCTTAACAGAAAAGAATACACAAGGACAAAGGTAGTATATTAAGTTTTATTTATTGTCACCAGGTTTAGAATTTTTAGAAAATCTGATATTTACCATAAAAATAATTTTTATGATTATTAACTATATTAATATGCAGTGCATCCTCCCATGTACGCCTTGCCCCCGGTTTTGTTTTTCTAGCATGCTGGCCGTCTGGCATCTTACAAGGTAAATGTTGCATTTTTTTCTGCGCTCTGGCCAAAAGTGTTGCCTACCCCTGGCCTAAGCCATAAAGTTCATAAAGTGAAACTGAAATTTACAAGTGGTGTGTGGACAGGTCCCCTAAATATATTCTTAACCTTGACAGCTTTTCCACATATCTCATTTATTTTCATACCACATGCTTCCAAATAGGACAGCTACTTTACCAGCTATGGAATTATCTCTCTCAGCTAGAGTCTAGTTGTATGCAGAACACTGTAAGAGCCTTAATTCAGCTGCAGCTGTGAGAGAGTTAAACCTGTAGCTGTTGCCATAATATCATCTGCTGGGCAGCAGCAAGGAAGTGGAGAGAAAGGGCAGGATTCCCCTCCTTAGCCTAGCTCCACACACTTAGATCTTTCAGCCCCTGTAAAAATCAGTCTCCTCAAGACACGCACTCCAGTTTTCCATCTCCAATTTTTGGATAAAAGGCGTGTATGGTATGCGAATAAATATGGTAGTTTTTTTAGGCAACTTCATTATTCTAAACTGGAAAATGTCATGCAGGATCATGGACCAGGGGCCTGAAAGAGAATGCTGCTATGCGATTTCAAACTATTTGAAGATGCATAGTCTTAGTGTTAAACTATTATTCTAATTTAAAAGTCTAAAATATTTTATTTGGCAAACACTTCGCTGCAAGTCTGACATGATCTGTTGTCACCTCATTGTTCTTGGATTTTGTACTTGAAGCTTGAGATGCATACTTCCAATTTTTCATCTTGAAATAATGGCACTGTGCATTCTAAAAACAGCTTTCATTCTGGATTGCTTTTCCTTTTTGCCATCTTGCACTTTCCATGTGTTTCAACAAGAACAGCAGATAGCTTTGAAGAGATCACATCTTTTTATGATATAACTAGGGAACATTCTGTCTCTGCCTGGAATCGTTTTGTCTCCAAATTTGCTTGTGTGCTCTGCGCTCAGTGATGACATCAAAAGGAAACAAGCACAACTATTTGACATCATGCTCATCGGCTTGAATATAACAAACTATTTATTTTTATTAAAAGATGCTTTACTTACATCATCAGCTGATGTTGTCTAAAGTTCTGATCTAAAACCTAAAGATTCCTATTTACTTCAGTAATCTTTAGCTAAAGGGTTTTTTCCCCCTACAATTTTTTTGATAAAGCATAGCTAATTTGAATGTAAATACTGCCATAGCAGAGCAGATATCTGCTATTTTGTGTAATTTTGTGTCTCTGAAATGACCACTTCCAGATGTTTTAGAGCAGTGGTGGCCTGCCTTATTGGCAGACAGACCACAAGTCAAGCCCCGTTCCCTCAGTGCTACTCTGATCCCTGCCCCTCCAGTGGCTTTCCTGATAGCTTGCACTTTGAAGTGCTGGAGTGAAGGTGGGGGTGGGAGGTGTAACAGGGAGCCAGGGGCTCCTTTACTTCCTCCTTTAAGGAAATTTTGTAGCAGGTAGCTGAGCATGAGCTAGCTGCACCACAGCAAGCAGGCCAACCATCAAGCCCAAAGGGAAACTTATGCTTAATTAGGGTCACCTGACTGGAAGGGGCAGTGCTCTAGGGCACATAAATCCAATACTAGGAGAAAAGACAGTCAGTCTGGCCCTGCAGGTGAAGTGGGAAGCGCCTCTACCCAGGAAGGCTTCAGAGGAGTGCATGGCTGACAGCTAAAACTGCCCTGGGATTACAAGTAAGGTGCTGAGGAGTGATGGAATATAACCCAGCGAAGTTTGTGGTACAGCCAGTGAACTGGGGTTCATGTTTGGACCCAGTGCGGGGTTAGTTTTCATTACAACCAGTGAGTTTACTTTTTTTGTTACTAATTACACCAGTGGACTGGGTATGTGGCTGTAAGGGAACGTGAGGAAGCCACAGTGGGGCACCCAAGGGGTACACTGTAGTTAACCCACAGCAGGGTGCCAGAGACACCTGGGTGTTTTGAGCTGTGTTAGGGCTAGGGGCTCAAGACATGGAGCAGGCTTACACAAAGTAGCCCCTAGAGAGGGGCTGAAGCCAGGGACACAGCACCTGACAAGTGCAGAGACGGACTGGAGCCCAGGAGTCGGGTCCAAGACAGTGGGCCTAGACAAAAGGACAGAGCTAGAGGAAAGGGGTGGAAGCTGAAGAGGCTGAGGCCCCAAGAAGGGTGTGAAGTCTTGATGCTGTACTGGTGCAAAGTACCCGCTGAATAATTAACTGTTAACATCTGCAGAAGGTGTGGGTATGGCTGTAGGGAGGGTTGGAGGCAGTGAAATGAACCCTTAAGGCAGTTAGTGCATTTGGGCACAGACAGGCTGGACGGTCCCTACTCAGCACCTGAAGGGCAAGCTGAGGGGGGAGGGCGGTGTAGACTGGGTCGGAGAGGCACCCACTGACTGATACTAGGCAAAAGCTCACTCTGGGGCAGCCTCCCTTTTCAGAAACCAGTAACTACATCAAAGTATGGCAGGAAGGAGAAGGGGGAGAATACCTGAGGAGCTGCAGCAGGGTAGGAGTTGTATGGCCACCAGGGAGTATCACAGCCACCCCGGGGCCTGGCACCTGTTACAGGGGGACTCAAGCCTCTGGTTGCATGGAGCAGAACAGAGGCAAGATGTTGCTGTAAAGAAGTGTGCATCATTGCCAAGAGCCAGATTAACCTTTCCTTGTCTCTGCAATTGCTGCACCTTTTATTATGGCAAGCAAGGCTTCAAAGCCCTAAATTTGTCAGTGGCTGCCAAGCCAAGAAAGGGTTAGCCTGGCTTTTGTCAATGACACCTGACATCTCTTCTTGCAGCAGTGTCCTGTCCCTATTCTACTCTAGGAGGGCAGAAGCTTCAGCTCCCTACCTCCATTCTGCAGCACCCAAGGTTCATGTGCCTACTGTGTCACGTCTAGCACAGATTGACCACCCCTGCTTTAGAGGAACATGTAAAAAAATCTGAAGATTCCAATCATGGAAAATATGCTGATAGGACAGTT